GTGCTTCGCAGGACATCTGCAGAGCAGCTTTGCCTCAAGGGAGCGCTGACACAGCAGGCAGGGCTTCCTCGGCATCAGCACAATAAAACTTAATGTGGGAGTTTGTACAGGCAGAACAGAGAACACAAACCGTCTCGCCTTTCCTTTCCCAAGGAGGTAAAAATGGAAGGGGCGGGGGGGTTCTCCTCGACGATGACGAAGATAAAAATAAGAAATCTCGCTCAGCCAGATGTTGGTCCACATGACGACCTCTCTTTCCTGGGTCCTCTTTCATTCGCTCTGCTGCAGCTGCAGAATTCGATGACTGGAAGGCAATTTCAGCCGACGTGTCAAACCCAGTAAAGCCCTGTAATATCTGTACTTAACAGTGGAATAGTGATTTTCACCGATTGTCAGTGCGGATATCTAACCCTGCCTCTGGAAAACGTGCAGATAAAACCCACCAAGTATCACATGATGGAAATAGGTCCTGAGCCTGCTGGAGAATTATGGAAATTAAAACAGGGGGAGAAAACCAGCAAGAGCATTTTGTATTCACAAATTATAAATACGCAAATATGAAATATAAGAAGCAAACATATCCATCTAACTTTTAGGACAATCTTATTGCTCTAAAAATCATCACTTTACGCAATATTAGCATGAATTGTTCTATTCCTCGATGATTTCAAATCTTACAAAGTGAAAAATAAAGATAAAATATCCGACTTGCATTTCAGTGGCGTACAGATACAACATTATATCAATAACCTTCTAGCAGATACAACGCCTCACTCCTAAGCCAGGCTGCCATTGATGTTTTTGACAAAATATACTGTGACTCACTCACTTCTGCATGGCAAATGCTTAAATGGGCTTCAGTGGGAGGGCAGTTCAACCTTTTCTTTCTAAATAATTCAGCTCATAACTACGTGACCACTAACTGATAGCCTATGTATAAGACACTAAATATGTACAGTTAGTAGTTACAGCAACATGGCAGCAAGAGTAATGTTTACACCATTAATCCAAATACACATGCACTAAGCAAAATACGCTTTATAAAGATCAGATGCTTTATAGATGTGAAAAGATTTTATGTTTGACTAAATGAACTTTTATCATGTTTATAATCTTGCTATGTATGTTAGATCCGCCAAAATACATCTCAAGATAAGAAAGAGTGCAGCAGCTTTATGTAGCCACATGCTAACACATGACAGAGTAAAATAAAAAAGAAACACCAACAATGAAAAGTGGAAACTCTTTTCCTTCCTGTTGCCTGCTGACCTAAATGGAAAGACGTAAAACGTGTTACAGCGCCGACTGCTACAACAACACACATAGTGGAATATAGCAGGAACACACTTTGTCGTGTTTTTGCAGAGCAAAAGGTTGTTTGCCAATTCCCGCTAAAGCATTTGGCTCAGTGTAAGACGTTTTCAAGAACGTAAAAAAAATAAAACCAGCAGAAAACATTACAACCAATTCATCACAGCGGATATTTTTAAATCGGTTTTTTATTCTATCATGGTTAAAATATATTTTCTCCCGACCAGAAGTGTTAACCGTTTGCTCAGGAATTAAAAGCCAGCGGGGGTTGCTAGTTAGAGCGCTGTGATTTTAGTCGCAGTTTCTCATTTAAGTCTCGAGTGCCATTTCTTTCCTCTTTCATATCTCAGAGCAATAATGAACCACAAGCCGCTGCTGTTCCGACTTTAATGGAGCTGCACAACACATTCTCAACTGCATGAATATGGAGGGGAAGAAGGAAACCGTGCTTCATGTTTTTTTTACAGAATAAAAGAAACAAGCCTGCAGGGAAACTCTTTTCAAGTCCTCAGCTCATGAATCTCCCAACGAAATATTTCAACAACAGTATATTTTTTTGAGCCGGGGAAACTATGTACTCACCTGGAGTCAGATCAATAAAGAGGAGGAAACTCAAGGCTTTTAGATAGAACCTTTACAATGCTCAACGCAAAATCATAATCTAAATGTCCCCGTTATGGTAATACGGCTATACCCCTGCAGGAAAACAGCTGAGATTAGGCCTGTGTGAGCACTCAGTGCTTGTATACGCAGTCGAGTGTGTCATGTCTTCAGCCCTGCACAGATAACTGTTCTCCCAGAATCTGCCCGAGCGCAGCAGCATGACGGAAAAAGAAAAGCTGCGCTCAGCGACTTCTACATCCGACTGGCTCAGTGGGTGTTACCCAGAGAAATTTACACAAAGTTTCTGTGCTCAGGACTTCTTCGCTGCATTGTAAATAAAATCTGTTCAACGTGTTTTAGGAGAAAAGCAAAACAAACAAAAGAAAAACACAGCCTCCAGCCAATGTGAAGGGCCCTGACCATCGAAAAGCAGAGCTCAGTGAAATATGCATGAGCATGGGGTGGGGGAGAAAAAGCTTCTTGCCGTAACACACACAAACGTGGGCCTACTTTGGTTCGGCGCATGAAACATTGATGGTGGCAGCCTTCATTGGGTGGTGCAGCAGCTCAGCCGGTGGATGGAGTTTACGTCTAATTTTGGACTGCGCCCAGGAGACCTGAGCTCTGCGCTCCCTTTACTTTAAAACTGAAGGGCTTTTTAGGTTCTTAAAAGCACAAAAGTGTTACAAAGTCATTAAGATGACAGAGCCATGGTTTAAAATCTAGGTGACAAACCTAGACATCTCCACACCTACAAGAACTGAGAGCTCTGCACTAAGCAGATGACGGTGTGTTGTAATAAATATCAAGATATTATCAAAGTATGTCAGCTCACCAAACAGTCGCTCAACATGCACAACGTTGTGTGAATATACAGTGAAGGCAAAATCAGTTGGACGATATATTCTTTCAGAAATGATTGCGATAAAAAAATAATAGTGTTGTTTTAAAGCCATTTCCACAAAATGACGCTTTATGTGGCTTCATCCAGCTGTCCCAAAGTTCATTTCTAAAGAGCATCAAGCACTGCGACTGAAAAACATTTTAAATACAAAACAAAACAAAAAAACAGAACAACAAAAAAGATGGACACTTAAAAGTCTGTAAGCAAAATTGCCCTTCGAAAAAAAATAGAAAAAAGCCTGGCTGAGATGCATGTGCCTTTTGTCAACCGGTCGTTGGTAGAAAGAGAGAGACACGAGAAAAACAATCATGCAAATGGAAGTTATCCAGCTCGTTTTAATTTATCACGCGATTAATTGATTTATTGCTTATTGTGACAGGCTTAAACGCAGTCACTATATACTAAGTACTCTGAGCTCATACTCAATCCAATGTGATGTAATAGCTTCACCCGAGATGCTAAATGTCTCAGAGACAGCTTGAATCACAGATGATAAGATGAAGAGGGAGGAAAATTACTTTTTTTTCTTTTTTGCAACAAATATGTCATGTTTTTAGATCAATCAGCCCAAAAATCATTGAATTCAGTGACATTTTGAGTCGTACATCCCTTCAGTAGAGAAGATAGATCTGACAGAGCAAGTAAAAATGTAATTTTTGACATTTTTAGTCAAAAAAAAAATTGTAATGGACGATACACAAACAAGTGTAACAGCACGACTGCAGAGCTCAACCAGGTCCGACCCTCAAAAAAAGACCCCAAACACAAATACAGCGTCTCTTCAAAACAAGAGGACTTGTAAAGTTTTGAAGTAGAAACAGAAGTGAAAATAGCTCCTCTGTACCACCGGCGGTGGGATGAGGACAAACAAACAGCGCACATCTTTTAATTTCTCATCAACTTTCACCCCCCGCAGGTGAGGAGCACAACGTGCAGACAGACGTCTCCTCTGCCTGTCAGAGGCCTGCTGTAATGAACACGACGATCACAAAAAAAAACAAAAAAAACAGACGTCACCGCGAGATTTAGAAGAAAAGCTGACAAGCAGTTCGCTTCCCCCAATCTGCCGGATAAAACACACACACCCCAGCAGACGATACACACACCACAAAGAAAACTATTGTTTTTAATCTCCTTGTCACAGTTTATCAGCTCACTTTGATAGCACACACACACAGCCGCAGAGCTGGGAAAACAAACACTCTTCTGGTCTGCGCTCCTCAGGAGGGCTTTGCCGGCTCTCTGTTAACCCTCCGCCTATCTACACAAGAGTCGACCTGGAAACGGAACAAAGGATCCTCGCTTCACGTCACACACGCGCAGAAAAAGTCTTGGTTTTTCTTGCTCTGCCGCTGATATGTTCCCATTTTTCCAAAGCCGCATTGATCCCGACCGTGGCGTCTGCCTGTAAGCCATTAACCGGAGGCTGCAAGAGCTCCACTCCTGTCAATAAGGATTTAACCTCGCCAATGAATTCAGGCGCTAATCATGCCCAGGAAAATGCCTCATGCTGAGATTCCAATTACCTGCTCGATACTCGCAAGGACAGAGGTTATGTAAACAGGAGTGGAGTTAAGAAAGAAAAGACAAAAGAAACAATTATTGGTGCTTCTAATTAACACAGAGGAGGTAGAGGAGGCAGGAGACTCGGCACTTAGGAGGAGAAAAACGACGCAAACTTCACCAAACCCGACGCACAAACACTTTTTTGTGTTGCTTTTCTTGTGGCTTAACGCCTGAACAGACCGTGCTGCATTCAGGGGCCCACTTCGCGGTTAGGAGTGAAAATGTCGGCCTGAAAAGTCACATGTAGCCGTGAACAAATGACCTGTGTTAAGGAGGGGTAATTGTCTTTATACAGCAGCCTCTAAATCTCCCTGGCTGACTCGCCCATGTCATGCAGACTCTGGTTGCCTAGCAGCAGATGTCCTCGACTCCATTGTTTTGTTTTTTTTTCACCGACGAGAAACAAAAGTCAGCTCTTTTTTATATATATATATATTTTATTTCATGGCTCTGGTAATAGGCAGCACTATCAGCGACTGTCACACCTGACGAGGGATGCTGGGGGAAAAAACATTCGTCCTAAACAAACATGGAGTTGAAACATTTGTCCCCCGGGGACCAGAACCGAGTCGTCCGTTTCAGCAGAGGGCGGGCGCATGTGCGCGTCTTTGCTCACCTGACGCCATCTGCATGTATCCGGCCAGGGTGCAGATCCTCCGCTCGCAGCCTCCGCCCGGCAGGAAGATGGTGATGATGGCCAACAGGGAGCTGACCGCCAGCAGGGCGCAGCCTCCCGAGCACAGCACCGCGCTGGTCTGAGGGACACAACGAGACGACTTCATGTCAGAGAGAGGAAATCCCACCACATGTTCACCTGCTTCCCTACTGGAGTACACTCACAGGGCCTTACACTGCAAAAACACAAAGTCTTCAAAAGTATTTTCATCTAGCTTCTAGTACACTTGAAATAAGACTAAACAGACTTGCAAGCAAGTTTTCAGCAGAGAACGTGGGTTTGTTTTAAGTTCCTCAATTTCAGTAAAATGTAGCAATTCCACTGGAGGATTAGTAACTTTTTCACCAACTTTAAGGGATTATTTACTTAAAACAAACTTGCATATCTTGCTGAAAGGTTAGTTTCAAGTTATTTAAGATAAAAATTAGACAAATTCATTTTTTTGGCAGTGCATCGAAGTGTTGACACACTTTTATTCGCATCCTAACTGCAAACATCGACGTACTGAAACTCGACGACAGACAAAAGAGTCCAGTGACCTTTCACCTCAGTCTCGAGTTGTTTACAGCCTCCAACAGGCTCCATCCTTCTCCCTACCAACACTTACCAGCTTCCCTGTTTGTTGGAGTACAAAAGCATTGTCACAGCATGACGCTGCCACCACCGTGTTTTACAGTTTACAGACAGATTCTCTCACCAGCAGCTGTGAGCTCCTGGTCTCAGCTGCAGCTCATTTAATTAGTAGTATTAACAAAGAAAACTGGATTTTTCTGAGTCTAATCAGATAAACAAACATTGAAACGTCGTAAAACGTCATTTTATGTCCTATTCCATACATTTTACAATCACACACTACTTTGTGTAAATTTACCACATCAAATCCTCGTAAAGTGCAGTACAGTTTGACTTTCGAATGACAAAATGTTGAAAGTTCAAGCGCTGTGAATACTTTTTCCCTTGCTGTCCGTGTATGACAGTGTAGGCCACACACACCACAGCCGAAACATGTTTGGTTTTTAGATTTGTCAGATCACACAACGTCGCAGTCAGTCCTCCTTCCAGCCGTTACTCATTTTATCTCAGCTGGAAATCAGCCCTGAAACACCAAACAAGAGCTGCCTGTCCCTGTTCATTACACATTCGCTTAATCACTCACACACACACAGGCACACACACGCATACACACGTACCAGATGCGTACGGATACACGTATTCCAGATTTATATATTTAAAAGTTTTAGACATACAGTGCCTTAAAGTATTAATGAAACCATTAAACTGTTAAACACAAAGGAAGCTGTGATATTTTAATGGGTACTTCTTAAAATTAAATAATTTTCAAAATTGGTGTGATTTGATTTCACTAAAAAAAAACATAATATTTATCTGTTATCTATTTATTGTAAAGTCTTTATTGTCACGCCGAGCCTTGAGTTCGACATGCAGTATCATTTTCTTCCTACTCTGCTCTACTTTGCGTTGGTCCAAGAAGTTGTGGGTGTTCAATACTTTTATTTCTATGCTTTTTGGGTCAGTATTTAATTGCAATGTTTCCTTTTTTTTCTGTCTCATTTCAAGCTCTCGTCCATCTCACAGGAGCATCCACACTGATGCCGTCGCAGGTTCGATTCCCGGCGTGGTGGCCTGTGCCGCATGTTTTCCCGTTCTCTCTCTTTACCAACTTTCCTATCTTAGCACTTTGAAGTACAGGCCGCTGGCGCCACACAAAAAAATAATCATTTTCATAACATTGTATGAAAACACAGGTGATTAGCAAAGCGACGCCGGTAGGGGCGATTGGAGGGGAATGTCTAACATGCACAGGGGAATAACAGGCCTAAAACACGAGTCATTACGTGTGCCTGTGATCTGACTGACGCGAACGGAGGGAGGATAGGGAAGCTGAGCGATTTCCTCGGCTGACGGATTTAATTAGCTTTCTCTGGGTGGCTGGGAGGAAAGACGGAAATATGAAAATAAAGAACTGGTGGGACGCTGACGGCGACGATGATGATTGTGTTTTTGACCTTCATTCGTTACAGGTTGATAAATAGGTGCGCTCATCATCCCAAACACGTAAACAGAGCGCTTGCCCGCGTTGCGCAGGAGCTCGGCGAGGCGCTGAGTGCCTCGCCCTGCGGCACCTTGACCCCAACAATTAAGTAAGAGAGGACGGCGAGCGGAAAGAGAGAAACTCAGCAAGTCGTTTTATTGCATATCATTTCGAGAACCAATAAAGGTTTAATTTAATTCATATTTTATGCCTTCATTACAAAGCCCGGTGATTACTTCTTGTTCCTCCAGCAGCAGAGCGTCAGGTTTTCCTTGTGCAAAGAGTCATGTTCTTGCTGTAAAAGGTGAATGATATTATTGAAACAATTTTTTTTTTTTAACAAATTTGTAAAAATGTAAATGTCAAACTTTTTGGGAAGATTTCCAAATTTAAAAAAATGTTCAGTCAAACAACTTTTCCATCCAATCCTATTTCCCCTTTAAGATCAACATCATAATATAAAAATCATTGTTATTTAAACAGGGAACAGAGGAAACTGTGTTTCACAGTCACTGTGAAACACAGATTTACTAATATTTCAAACCAAAGACAAAATGATTACGGAGTTTAGCACCGTGGATTAACTGTTGGCCCACCTAGAACGATTAAAGTAGATTTTTCCAAGAAAATGTGGCTCATTATCTGAAAACTAAGATGTCTAAACATCTCCCAACATTTTCACTTCTAACATTATCCATCAGACAGTGGCTGAACGCTGAAAAGGATAAAACAGATCAATGTCGCAGCAAAAAGCCTGAATGTTGTTCCCATCTCTCACACTCAGCGCTAATGAACAACAAACATGATGTTGTAAGTACACTTCCTCTTACACGAACTTTGTCATTTTTCCTCTCGACACATTGAAACTACCCAACTTTGAGTCTTCCTCTCCCTGTAACTTCACATAAATGTAATGTAGGGTTTGCAGCTATTCTCATTCATGGTTTTGTGAGGATGTGGTGGAGAAAAGTCACAAATGCTGCCTGTTTATATGCTGCCAGAAGCAACACTGATAGTGACAGAGAGCTGGAAACGAACCTCCATTAGCAATCAGCGCTAACGTCGAGTTATTTAAGAAGCAAACACTGAACATGGCTACCCTAAGACGGTCTTCTGAACACCATCCAGCTATTTTTATCGTGTTTGACAACAGGAAGACAAAGTAGAGGCACCTAAAGATGGAGATTAGCCATAAATCTCTGAGGTTTTGTTCTGTCTTGCTAAAATGATATTCATGTATGCAGAAGAATGTCTCCTTTCTCTCCGCTGCTTGATCTTTGCATGCCTCGTGGGCTCAAAGAGTACAGCTACCTCCCACCCTGCTGTTCGCAATTCGCAGCCACACATTAGAGGCGCATCATGTCTCATCGAGCGGAGCAAAGGTTGAGAGAGGAAGACAGCCATCCTTCATTATATAAGGTGCAACTTAGGGGGGGGGAAGCGACGTAGTTGGCTGACAACTTTTAGCACAAAAACTCAGCATTTTAAACAGTTCTGGACATTTTTTTTTTAGATGAATAGAGATATGCTGTTTGTTTATCTTCTCCGTTTTTCATCCACTTCATTATCTTCTCCCAGTAACAGATTTATACACTTGACATTTTCCGTGCCATTTAAACACAACAACGGACGAATAAAGACCATCAGAGCACGACGCACAGCAAAAACAACGACGACACGCACACAGACACAGAAAAAAAAAAACACAGCAAGAATTTTAATTAATAAGACCCTAATCCATCAATTTCTAAAACTGTGACTGAGTGTGATTGGGCGGATAAGGCAGGGAGGAAAAAAATCCAGATAATCATAACGACTTCAACTTTATCAGAGCCAGACAGTAGCATTTAGGAGGCTCCTTCCTGCCCCCCCCCCTCAGATGCACTTGTTGTTCTGAGCGCAAGTTAATTTAGTAGTAAATGGGCTCCTAACAGCACTGGTCTTTTTCTAAATAGATTGTAATTATGTGTGAATAACTGGCTGAGCCACTGCGACGGCCAGCGCAAAAGAGGAAGGAGGAGAAACGGGGGAAATGTCTTCTTTTCTTCCTCCGAGTCTGAAAACTTACATTGGACATCAGTCCTCTGAGAGTGACTCAAAGTACCTTTCATTTATGACTTTGTGATGATTTAGAAAGCCAGATTAGAATAAATATAGCCAAATTACTTATCATTCACTGGTTTATTACATTGCATGGTTGTGACTAAAAGTCCCAGAAGAAAACTGCTGCATGCTCAGCTGTTCAGTGGAGAGTTTATCATTAAGCGAACGAGGAAACGGTAAACAGCATGAGGAAGCGCTTATTCACGTCATTTAATATGATAATGGAAGAGACGTAAAGCAAATTTATAGATTGTAACATGATTCAAAGCTGCATCACAGGAGCAGTTGTGTCAAGCTCTTCAAACTTCATCAGAGAGCGATTCGGTCAAATTCATGCTCCTGCTTTTTATTACCGTTATTGTGCCTGAGCTGCAAAACATGCAGAGGACATCAAAACGGAGAGCGGCGTTTTTAATTTGGTGTCATTAGTTGAGGGGTCTGCTGAGTCTCCGATGACAAAAACAACAAAAAGGAATCAAGAATAACTTTGAAATGTTGAATCGGAACGTTTTACCCAATACAGTTACTATTTGTCATCAAACTCGTTTCAGTGCAAAGTTCCTGTTTGTCCCATTGGGCCGACCAAAATGGTTTCACAACTTAACAGCACAAACATTAGATTGATGGACCAAAGTCTCAAATCGAACTCAAAATGTTCAGACTTGATTCAAAGTGACTGGATTCCTGTTGCGTTTGAGAAACGTGTATAAAAGCTTTATATGTACGATGGCGAGAATGGACTGGATGTTTTTATTTGAACATTTTTAGTAGGCCTCTGTGAGCCGTTGCTCCACAGGCGGTACTAAAAATCAAAGAATAGCAGGGGTGTGACGATACATCCAGCTCATGAGGTGTGCAGTATTAGGTTCATGAGACGAGGTTTCCACAACATTTATGGGAAAACTTACAGTCCACATTTCTCA